GATCAGCTGAAACATTCACAGCTAGCCCCAGCAAACAAAAGTCCTTTGTCTCACCCTGGTCATTCCACAGATTTATAAACCCATTTCTCCTAGTTCCAACAGACCTCATCACCTCTGAGGATGCTTGCCATAGATGCAGGTGAAACGTCAGGAGAAAAAATGCCTCCAGAACATGGCCATATAGCCCAGAAAAACCTACAACAACCCATGGCCCTTGATTGCTTGCTGTGTAGAGTTCTCCTGTTTCTGAGTGGTGTTCATTATTTAATTGAGACACCAAAAAGGCTCTCTCCTGTGTCCTCTCCAAATGTGACTGGGATGGCAGTGAGAGGAGAGGAAGCCTGCAGACCTTGGAGCATGGGCAGGCTCATGTAGAGAGACCAAGTTTTTCAAGTAGTAAGGACCCAAGTAAACGGGTTGCTAAAGGTAATCAGCACTGAGTTCTGACTGTAAGTGGAGTAGTAGTAGTAGTTTCAGCAAAGGGGACATATGCTCCTTATAAACTATTTCGGACAGCAACGTGACTGCTATATTCGGTTACGACTGTTTTCTACTCAGAATAACATATTAATCTGTTTATTAATAAACACTGTTGCTCTGATTGTCAATTAAATCACATTACAAGAAAACATAAACAAAAATGAATAAATTACTACACTTATTTTAGCTCTTTTTACTTGAATTGGTTATTTCCCATTTTTTCCCCAGGGCTGCTATTCAATGAGTATAATTTTATTATCCTATCATTCTATTATCCTCCATTCACACTTTTTAATAAATGTTTTAAGAGGTATTTCCTTGCATTAGTGCCATGGTTCTTTTACACTGTAACATTGTAGCTGTAAGATTTAAAAAAAAACTCAGAAGAGATAGTTCTGAGCCCTTCAAACCATGGAATTCTCTCAGCAAAACACACTTTAAAAAAAGATGGTAAAATCACTGGTGCTGATTCATGAAATTACAACCAACAGCCTCCCAAAGGAAGAGAAAGAGTGGACATGGAGAGGAGAATAACACTGATTCGGTGAAATGCCATCAGGCAAATGGCACCATCCCTCTTGTGACTTTTGTCCACCATTTACCTTTCTGAAGCTCTAGCCCAGGTAACAGAGCATCTAGGAAAGCAACTAAAATAAAACAAAACATATATAAGATTAGGCACCAAATCATCTTGTTCAGAAAAATATCAATTCACAGTAGATCTCCCCTTATTAACCAGCACGGGCTCTAAGATCTCCTGGAGGCTCTCCTCTTGGTCCGACCACTATCTCAAGCATGGTTGGTGGGGACAAAGAAGAGGGTCTTCTTGGTGGTGGCTCCCCTGCTCTGGAATCCCCTCTCCAAGGAACTTAGGCAAGCCTCCATACTATAGCACTTTGGAAAGAACTACAAACTTGGTTCTTTCAACAGGTCTTTAATAACAGGATAGCAGCCAGACTATTCTTTAGTCAGGGAAGGCTAAATTGACTGCATGGATTTTTAATAAATGACTATTGCTATATTTTATTTTTGTCAACTTTATATGTCTGGTTTTAAATATGTTATTGTATTTTTAATGTTGATACACTGTATTTTATATATGTTGTGGCACCATTTGCCCCAAAGAAATGGGAAATTATTGTTTCCATTTGATGTCTAATGTTTTGTCTTATATCTGTTACAACATGCTGTGCTTTTTATTTAATTTTTAGTTTGTTAAGCTATAATTCGTATTTTTATGTTGGGTTAGGTTGTTGAAATGTTGTTAGTATGGAAGTACTGTTGTTGTATTCGGGCATTGAATGTTTGCCTTTTATGTTTGGAATCCAGAGACAGAGCGGAATATAAATACAGATTATTATTATTATTATTATTATTATTATTATTATTATTATTATGTGTGCTATTTGTAAGCCTCCCCGAGTCCCTATGGGAGATGGTGGCAGAGTATAGATAAAAGGTTGTTACTAAGTTTACTATTAGACACCTCCAATAAAGGTTTAAAAAGAAATTGAAACAGATACTCATTTATTATACTGGAAAAATGGTACAAGCTTAAGAATGGTACAAGCTTATGACTTGATTCTTCCTCAGTAAGACGTTTTGTTTTGTTTTACAATTAAGTTGTACAATCATTTTCCAGAACAGCAAAACATGGGGGGGGGGGGGGGGGGGGGGAGAGAGAGAGAGAGAGAGAGAGAGAAAGGAGAGCAGGGAAGCTTCGATCACCAACTTATTTCCCCAAAGTGGAAATCATACAAAATGAGGAAAGAAAAAAGAAATTTCTGGATCCACTTCGCCAGAGGCCTTGAAATGGCTTCTAGAAGGCACAAAATATTTTTATATACTAATGGAAAGAGTACTTAATTTATCTGTTTCATTTCACATATCCATATTGTTACTTTGGATTTAACAGTTTCCTATAACATGATGAACTTTTCCTCTTCTTTTCCCCCCTGTGGTGTTGGGACTCATCCCTATTTTTTCCACATTGTTTCTGCCTCTGGTACCAAACTTACTATTAAAAGAAGTAACACCCAGAAACAAATCTAGTTCATTAACTGAGGTAATCTTGTAAATGCATATAAACCAGTAGTGACCTCTCTCTGCATGTGCTTGTGTTTGTGCGCACACACGTTGAATGCCATTGTCACAGAACTAAACTGGGTCCTTCTAGTAAAAGAAAAGAAGAAGGAAAAAACAAAGCCTGGGTCTGAAGAAAGAAGCCTCGGTGTTTCTTTCCCAAACTGTGATGAGAATAAAACAAAAGCTAGAGTTCCCCATATTCCCTCTTAGGCCAATGCAGAAACAGCACAACTCCTTGTGGACACATCTCTTTACCTCGGAATGGCTTCATGGCAGCAACTAGACCAAAATTTAGATCACAAAACTCCCAGATCTTCCATTTCAGCTCTGGAGGAAAAACCACTGGCTTTTCGGATGTTTGCATCTCCTCAAACCTAGTGGGGAAAAGGAAAGTTAACCCATCACAAATGCAGTCTAGAATCCAGAATCCTTGAGAGGGGCAAATAAAGGAACTTAAGGTATAAAAAAAACTCCAGAAGTTCAGCACACACTGGGAGATTATTTCTCTGTTTGCCTCCTAAAACCCCAAGCCAACCAGTGAAGGACAAAAAAGACAAACTAAAACCGAAATACCGCAATGAGCCACATTTTCCAAATCCAGTTATCACAGGGACAGAAAGTGAGGTCTAATTTTCTGAACAGAGGCAAAGAGAACAAAACAAACACCACAGAGCATTAACTCTTTCCTATGTTATCCAAAGTGTATAAGAATGTGTGTGTGTGTGTGTGTGTGTGTGTGTGTGTGTGTGTGTGCACATGTGTGGATGGCTGAAGTTACACTTTAAAAATGTACCTGTTTCTACTTGCAGAAGAATTCAGCTTGAGAACAAACCTAAAGAATCTATCTTATTTGTAATTTGGGGGCTGCCTGTAATCAGAGAACTATTTTCTGCTTAGGTGTGATGTTGTTTTACTCTGGGTAGATTTGGATAGGCCTTTATCCCAAGATTAACCATGTTTTAAAAACATGGACCTTCCTGGGGACCTGTTTTCATACACACCCCAGAAAGCGTGCACTCTCTGGAGTGGATGACCAGATGTTCTTGCAGGACTGGCCAACGGGAACATCTGGAGGCCCAACCCCCCTTCCCTGAAGCCCCCAGACCCTTTGAAAAGTAAAATAAACTTACCTGGCTTCCAGTACGCACTCGGAGCAGCTCTCAGGCCGTGTAGAAATGACACTCCAGGAGAGTTGGGGGAAGGGGAGTGATTTAATTCCTCCCCCTTCCTCGGTCTCCTGGCACATCATTTCTATGTGCCGGGAGAGCTGCTCCAAGAGTGTACTGGAGGCCGGGTAAGTTTTCTTCACTTTTCAAAGGGGTTTGGGGGCTTTGAGAGAGGAGGTGGGTATTCCCACTGTTTTCCAGACTAATTCAGTTTGGAAAACTGTGGGAATGGTGTCTGGACTGCAGTCTAGACATTGGAAATAGTGGGTTTATTCCGCACCTTCCAAGAAGGCGCGGAATAAACCCACTATCGAATTAATTCTCTACAAACCAGGGTTTTTCTGGTTTGTAGTGAATTAATTCAGGACTGTCCATAACATTGTGTGGACAGGCCCTTCTTTATTGCGGGAGTTACCACAAAAATGATATTGTCTGGATGGGCCCCCAATAACTTAAGAGATCCCACTCTTGAAAAGGGTAAGCTGTGCAATTACAAGCAATTTTGGCACAGGATTTTAGTCCTTGGACACAACATTCCCATGCCTTCCTTGAAATCTACTGAGCCTCTCTGTTCTTTGTCTGTTTGTAACCTCATTTTATTTTTTAAAAAGAAATTATTCTGGCAAAGTAAAAACTCGGTGAGCAAAAGGTAATTTTGACTCCTCCCACAATTTCCCCTCCCACAAACCTGAGAGTAATGAATGCTATCACAGATTGGATAATGTTTCAGATTGGATAATGTTTTTATAAGGAGACATAGACGATTTATGTGTTTAATATTCTTGTTCTGGTTTTTATTATGTGTTAATGTTTTTAAATGTTTTATGGTGTTTTGGGGCATTGAATCGTTGCTGCTGTAAACCGCCTTGAGTCACCTGAGGGCTGAGAAGGACGGTATACAAATGCAGTAAATAAATAAAGAAATAAAGAAATAAATACAGAATAGGCCATTTTGCCCATCTACATCAAGAACATTAACAAAAATCCACATCATCAACACCTCCTGAAACGAAAAGAATGCTGACCCCCATGCTTAAAATACAGAAATAATGCTCTATCTTACACTTGAACTCAACCTAATGTCATGAACACAGTGATGGAATTTAGTAAATATGATGAAGTAGTAAACCAATTTCTGTCTTGCTGGAAAAGGGAACCATTGCTGTCATTCTGTCAGAGCCCAAGCATCCTGTATGGCTGATTATTTATTTTTAAGGTATAGAGAGAGCTTGCCATTTCAGATAAATATTGCTGAGTAAACAAATACAACAAACAATTAGTAGAGATCTTGCTATGGCAGTGACACTAGCTATGGAACAAGTACTATAAGGGCAAAATGAAGGCAATATTTTTATCTGTGACCTGTTAGATTCCTTCATTTATTTCCATGGAGCATCAGAGGATCACTATGTCCACCTGTTATGTCTAACAGAAAGGACTGGGATCCACTCACCTCTGCAAGAGCTTCCTTGCATCCTAGAAGGAAGAAGAACAAAAGAAGAGGGATGTCATTGCTCATATATCTAATTCTTCACTGAAAAGGTGAAAAGGCAGTCTGTCTCTCCCAAAAGATACTTCTGCAACTTAAACATTGGCAGTAGTGCAACTATTTTTAAGCAAGGACTATGTGCCCTTGAGGGTAACAGAAGGAAAAGAGACAGAGTTCCTTGGTGTGTTCTCCTTTTGACTTGTCTGACATCTCATCTTCCTGCCTACAGAGACACCCTCTGTTTGAATTCCTTTCTGCCAAGCCCTCCTCAGTCTCCCTCCTGAATGCTTCAAAAGACCAAAAAAGGAGTCAAAATTCAGGACATGCAGGGTTGACAATCATTAACAAATTTGTGTTTCATGAAAATATCAAATAAGAGATTTTATTTCAATTAACTTATCTATGTAATTCTCTGAAAATACAAATGAATCAAAATCCTAAACATTTCTGAGGAGGTTTAGTTCTCATGCATACACCCAGTGCATCTTGGAAGCTCCTATATATGGAATAGAGTTGTCTCACAGTTCATCAGGCTTGGTCCTTTCATTCCTTCTGTTCCAGTGGTGTAGTGGTAGACTGTCATCTTATGTCACCTTATTTGCTATGGAACCCTAGGGATGTGTGTAGTGTGAAAAGGCACCAGAGCTCTCTGGCTGAGACTTCTGCGTCCTCCACGTTAAATTGGAAATGCAGGATTCAGTAGGATGTTGCCATGGCAATTAAAATGAAATATAGTGCTATGTTTGTGTTGTGTAAATGGGCCCAGGGCACCCTCTAGAACAGTGATTCTCAACCTTCCTAATACCATGACCCTTAAATACAGTTCCTCATGTTGTGGTGACCCCAAACCATAAAATTATTTTCATTGCTACTTCATAATTTCATCCCTTAGCATGTTTGTGTGACAATGTTGTTCTTCAGATTACATGCCATCCCTGAATTACAAATGACTCCTGGTTAAGAACTAAGCTGAGACAACAGGGAGGGAGAGGAATCAATCCTTTGGAAGGGAAGTTCACTCTGAAAGGATTATCGAAGAGAAAAGTAAAAACTGAAGCTTTATCTCCAATCCTGTTTCCAATTTTTTCAAAATCCAGTTCTCACAGGGATGGAAAGTGAGGTGGCAGCAGGGACACAGACAGCAAAACAAACACTACAGAGGTGTTATCCCTTCCCCATGCTTTGTGTGTGTGTGTGTGTGTGTGTGTGTGTGTATCTATGTACCTATTCTGGCTTACATACAAATTCAACTGAAGAACAAACCTACAGAACATTGTTTGTAACTTGGGGACTGCCTGATCTCAGATTATCTCCTTATCCCAGACTATCCAGCAGTGTAGACTCATATAAACCAGTTCAAAGCAGATAATCTGGGAACAGAACCTGGGATATAGGGAAGTGTAGATCCAGTCTGAGAGAATGCATACGTTTTGCAGACCATTTACTCAGAAGGTGGCAGCACGGTCCCTCTCAAACGGCTGATCGATCCCCCTAGGAGTCTCAACCCCCAAGTTTAGAACCATTGCTCTAGAACAACATCAAAGGAGATTCGAAATGCAGGCCACTGTGATTAACCAAAACAATGCCTAGTTAATTCCACAAAAAACAAATAGCAGATATTTTGTAATGGATCTTGTCCATGCCAGAAAAACTACTTCCAAAACATTAGTTTTGCAGCTTGTTTCTTTTGCCCAGTCTTACCTGCAGCAGTTTTGCTGGTGGCTGCTGACATTTCTCTTTCATCTCCTGGATGAGACTTTCCAGAGAAGATAGTTCCCGGGAAAGGAAGACCAAGTGTTCATCTCTTTTCCTTACAATCTGCTTCTCAATCTCCTCCATCTGAGCCCGGAGATGTTTTTCCCGTTCTTCCAGAAACTGCCGTATTTCTGTGATTTCTCCCATTGTTTTTTCAATGTTTGCTTTTGCCTGCTTCTGCAGTGAGCAGAAAGAAGAGCAAGTAAATGAGTATCACATTAAAATACAGTTGCTGAATTGAAAAAAGAGAGAGGGCTTCTGGCACATCAATGGTTGTGTAGGAGGATGAATTTCAACAGAGGGTTCATGACAAACAATCCGTTTAGACTCTCTCTTGTTGCTGTTGTGTGCTTTCAAGTCAGTTCCCTCTTATGGTGGCCCTAAGGTGACTCTGTCAAGGGTTTTTCTTGTCAAGATGCATTCAGAGGGTGAGTGGCCTTTGCCTTCCTCTGAGGCAAATTGGTCACAGTATGGGACTCATGATCAGTCTTCACGCCATCCAAAAATTTATATGATGAAGCTGCACTTTATAATGTGTTTTTTACACATTGTTTTTAGTTGTGTTCCTTTTGTAATCATATTTGCTCCTATACTTACAAGCAGGTCTTGGGCTTCCTTTTCTGTCTTTGCTTTATATACCAGAAACTTTTCTCTCTCCTTCACTAGATCATCCTGACGTACACCCATCAAATCCTGCAGAGAAATAAACATTCAGGAAGGTAACAGCAACATTTCACGCACATGCAAGTGCAATGCCATACATTTCTCTGTGTTGAAAATAATTTTCTTAGTTTTGGCCCAGCTCTCTAATCTGATAAGTCATTTTGGATTCTAACTCTGTCATCTAGGGTATCATCTGCTAATTTGAAAAGAATTCCTTCTGTCCTGTCATCCATCACTGATTCTACTTTGAAACTTGTTATTGAGTGAAATCAATGGGATACAGAAAAGGGAGAAACATCTAGAGATAGTCAAATGCATCTATTACAAGAGGAGCCATTGGGAGACACATTTTTTAAGATAGGGACAACCTTTTCACTCCTCCAGTCTGCTGGTACTCTGTTCTCTAAGATTTCTCAAAATAGTTCCAGAACTACACCTGCCAGTTCTTTTAATATCTTTGAATATAATTTATCTGTTTCCCTTAGTGAGTACCACTGATGTGGACAAGCTGCTGGGACAAGGAAGGAGAACAACCAACTTTCCTGCCCCCTGCCCCACTTGGCTGGTCACCCAGGGAGGAGGTGCAATTCAATCTCAAATACAACAAATCATTAATGCATCTCTCAGGGAGGGGAATATTCTATTCTGTTTAGCAGAAGCAATAGTTAGGACACTGCTGAAGAAGCCCTCCCTGAATCTGCTAGACAGTAATAATTACAGACCAGTCTCTAGCCTTTTGGGGGGGGGGGGTGGGATTGAGAAGGCAGTTACCCTCCAATACCAGGAAGGGGAGTATTCTATCCTGTTTAAAATAAGTAGTTAGGCCACTGCTGAACAAACCCTCTCTGGATCTGCTAGTCATTAATAATTACAGATCGGTCTCTAACCTGAGTGGGGAGGGGGGGGGGGTGATTGAGAAGGCAGTTACCCTCCCACACCAGGCAGTCTTGGATGACAGACATTTCTTTGATCCATTTCAAACTGGTTTCAGAGTAGGATATGTATTTGGGACTGCTATGATTGCCTGAGTGGATGATCTCCATCTTAACACTAACAATGATTGTGGGAAGCTGTTGGTACTTCTAGATCTCACAGTGGCTTTCGATACCATTGACCTTGATATCGTTCTAGAACGTCTGGGAGATTTGGGAATCGGAGGCACTGTGCCTAAATACTTAAAGATAGTATGGCATGCAATGGTAACCTAAAGATTAGACTTCTGAAATGCACTTTACATTGTACGAAGTTTGGAAACTCCAGTTGGTTCAAAATATGGCAGCCAGACTGGTTACAGGAACATCCACGAGGGAGCATATTACACCTGTCCTGAACTTACTCCATTGGCAGCCAATTATTTTCCTGGGAAAGCACAAAGTGTTAGTTTTGACCTTTAAAACTTCCTTATTATTATTATTATTATTATTATTATTATTATTATTATTTGTTAAAACCATAAATCATCGAGCCAAAATTAGTGGTTCACATTCATCTCTTTGTGCCACCCCACTAGAGGTTCGACTGAGTCCTTATCACACTGCTCCATTATGACACATTATTTCATTTGAAAGCCGTCCATGCATTCTTATGGGAGTACCTGATAGCTGACATGCTCTAAAGCAGTGCTTCTCAATCTGTGGGTCCCCAGTCATTTTGGACTAAAACTCCCAGAAATCCCAGCCAGTTTACCAGCTGTTAGGATTTCTGGGAGTTGAAGGCCAAAACAACCCACAGGTTGAGAACCACAGCTCTAAAGAAAATTTAACCTATAACCTATAATGCTATTCTATTTATTGCCTCTCAGAAGCAAAGTTCACAATGAATTGGGGTGTGAACTCCAAACAACTGATTGTAAAGAACCAAGGTGCATTTATATTCTTTGCCTGAATTCTTTTTATGCCGTTTATGACTGTCCTTTGAACTGTTAAGACAAGTAGATAACAACAGAGCCCACCAGAACTGTTTTCGGCCAGATTGTGCATCACAAATGGGAACATTGGCCTGAACCGTGAAATGTTTCTTTCTTTCTTTTTTCCCAAATCCATTCACCTTTATTGAGATCTATGTGCAAAGAAAACATTATTTCTTTTTCTCCATTTTCTCAATGGTCTGAGCCATGCACAGGCTGGCAAAGGCCTTGACGGTATTCTCCTCCTCCTTGGTGATAACTGGGCCTTCTCTTTTTTGTGGACATTTTTGATGGGTATAACTAATCCAGAGAGCTGTGTGGTCATGTTTCTCTTTAGAGTTGGAGGCAGAAACTTCTGCTATTATTTATTATTATTTATTTATTTAGAGCATTTGTATTCTGTCCTTCTCAACCCCTGCAGGAGGACTTAGGACGGCTTACAATAGGCAGTCATTAGATGCCGACAAAGAAACAGTTAGAACAAACAATTCACATAAACAAGTCAACAGCAACAGAAATGCATTTAAAAAGCAATAAAATACATTAAAATATTGGCCCTTAAAATATTAACACAACCAAGTCTGAGTCCGCAAATCCAAATCATAGTCCAGAGTTCCAATCCATGGTCTCTTCATTGACAATTCTCACAAGTCATTACAGTTGTTGCTCAGCCAGTTGCCTGAATGATTAGTCCCAAAGCTATGGCATGATACCACTCATCGCTGCAGTAGGCAAAAGAGAGGAGCACACACACCCCAATAACCCAGCTACCAAAAAAAGAGCATCTTATCATCACCTTTGCAGAACCAGTCACCTCAGTTCTGAGCGAAGTGGATATTTCCAGCTCCATCAGTCAAAATGGAGGGGGAAAACATCCTGTCATGGGACACATCAAAGGCCCCTGACCTATGTGTAGGAGAATGGAGGTCCATCGTTTATGTAGACATTACCAACTGTTATATGTATCTATCTCCCAAAGGAAACCTTATTATATCTCTGAGGGGGAAAATGAAATTTGTACAGATTTGGGGATATAAACGGTTGGAATATTCATTTTTTAATGTAAAAACAAGCAGAAGTAAATGCCTTCCTGAATGTAAGGTGGAAGAAAAAATGTTAAACTAGATAGAGAAACCAACAAAAGAGAAGCAGAAAGCCCTCTTTTGAAACTAATGTATTTAAGTTTTATTTTAGACATACATATGTCATTATTGTTCAAGTATGTTTATATTTATGCTGTTGTCTTTTATTTGCAAAAAGAAAACAGTACATATGAAAGGGATCTAGGAGTCTTAGCAGACCTCAACTCAGGCCCGTAGCCAGGATTTCGATTTTCGGGGAGGGGGGGGGGGCTGAGTCTGAGTGAAAGAGGGTCTACCCTAGCAAACCTTTTGTATCATTACCCCAATACCCCCATGCATATGGGATATATTGAGTATGGTGATCAGATCATGATATGAATAAACATATAACAGTTTAAATAATGCACCAGTAAGGCCTTTTCGTGAACCACCATGAGAATTTCGGGGGGGGGGCTGAAGCCCCTCAAGCCCCTCCCCCCCATGGGTCAACAGTGTGATGTGGCAGCTCAAAACTCCAATGCGATTCTAGGCTGCATCAATAGGAGTACAGTCTAGTGCAGGGGTCCCCAAACTTTTTAAACAGGGGGCCAGATTACTGTCCCTCTGACCATTGGAGGGCCGGACTATAGTTTTTTTTTAAAAAACCATGACAAAATTCCTATGCACATGTCCTATTTTGCTACTGTTATGAATCGTAATGTAAATATCTGATATGCACGATGTATTTTTATTGTTACATTCTGAACATAAAGCATAGTGATTAATCACAAAAACAATTTGTAATATACATTGTGAAATATTTATTTCTAATTACAAATAAATGAAATTTTGATTTCAAACATGTCACAGCATGTCTTAATATAACAGCAGGGAATCCATGAATATGTTTACTGTTCAGCCCTCAGTGAGGACAAAACTACATAATTTGTTTGTAACTTGGGGACTGCCTGTCCAGGTTGGGTCACAGAGATGACTGTACAGAAGAATAATACCTGGCAAAGTCAATGAAAGATTAAATGTCTCTGACCTGGAATACTAAGCAGGGCCAGTTCTGGTTAGTATTTGGATGGGAAGCCACAAATGAATAGCAGGTGCTCTATTTCAGAGAAAGAAACTGACAAAACTATTTTTGACTATTTCCTCTCAAAGAAAACTCTATTAAATTAATGGAGCCACCATAAATAAAAGGAGAACTCTACACACACCCAACCATGGGCTGCTGAAAGCAATATAGGAATACATAGAAAAAGATAGCTTTAGCATTTCTGAAAATAAAATAGTTCCAATGAAAATGAGGGAAAAAAAATATATTTTCTGTCGTTTTGAAAGTGGTTTTTTTGGAATATGTAAGCATGAGTCCCCTTTCAGGGGGAGAAGGGCAGGGTATAAATATAGGAAATAAATCTATATAAATAAAAATGTAATGTTCATTTGTGGGATTAACAGAAATCAAAAACCACTGGACACTTAACACCCCTTTCATGGGGAGAAGGGCAGGGTATAAATATAGGAAATAAATCTATATAAATAAAAATGTAATGTTCATTTCTGAGATAAACAGAAATCAAAAACCACTGGATACTTAACAACCCAATGTATGTCCCTCACTCAAAAAAATAGATTTTGACATTTGGGAGTTGTAGTTACTGGAAGGGTTTGGAGGGGAGTGTCCTTTGGTTTTGGAGTTGTAGTTTACCTACATCCAGAGATCACTGTGGACTCAAACAATGTTGGATCTAGACCAAACCTGGCCGGACCAGGCTTCTCCCTCCTTCCTTCCTTCCTTCCTTCCTTCCTTCCTTCCTTCCTTCCTTCCTTCCTTCCTTCCTTCCTTCCTTCCTTCCTCCCTCCCTTCCCTTCCCTTCCCTTCCCTTCCCTTCCCTTCCCCTTCCCTTCCCTTCCCCTTCCTTCTCCTTTCCTCTCCCTCCTTCCCTCCCTTCTTTTCCTTCCTTCTTCCTTCTCTCCGTGGGGATACTGGGCCAGGCGCCGCCTCCACTTGTTCTCCTGGCACAGCTGGGAGGGAAGGAGAACAAGCAGAGGTGGCGCCGGGTGGGCGTGGCCAGGCAACGCTGGCTTCCCCGGGCCGGCATCTCCCTCCCACACGGAAGGAAGGAAGGAAGAAGGAAAGGAAGGGAGGGAAGGAGGGAGGGGGAAGGAGAAGGGAAGGGAAGGGGAGAGAAAGGGGGAAGGGGAAGGAAGGAAGGAAGGAAAGAGGGAGAAGCCTGGTCCGGCGCGACCCCGCCTGAAGCCACTCCTTGGCGGGCTGCATCTGGCCCGTGGGCCTTAGTTTGGGGACCCCTGGTCTAGTGCCTAGATCTGGAGAAGTAATAGTACCACTATATTCTGCTTTGGCCAGGCTTCACCTGGAATAACACTATACCCACCTCTAGGCACCACAAGAAGGATATTGACCAGTTGGAACATGTGCAGAGATTGGGGCGGAGAGGGGTAAATGGTCCAAAGTCGGGAAGCCATGCCCTATGAGGAGCGACTCGGTTATGTTTCACTCAGAGAAGAGAACAGTAAAAGGGGACACAAAAGCCTCTGCTGCTCTGGAGACTAGGACACAATGAGCAATGGATTGAAATTGCAGAAAAGGAGACTCAGCCTAAACATTAGGAAGAATTTCCTGATAGTCAGAGCTATTCAGCAGTGGAATAGGCTGCTGCCTCAAAATGTGATGGAGTCGCCATCTGTCAGGGGTGCTTTGATCATGTGTTCCTACATGTAAGGGGGTTGGGCTGAGTGGCACTTGGACTCTTTTCCAAATCTATGATTCTATGGAAATACAGAAAGTGAGCAGTTGAAAAATATGTTGCCCACTGCCACCCAAAATATCACTTACTAGAAAACGTACAGCCATAAACAGGTTATTTATAAAATGGGTTACAAATTACAATTTAATGTGAGATCTTTCATACACAATATGGGATGTGCAATAACCACATTAGCAATACAGATCCAAACCTACTTCTATCTACTTTTATACAAGGAAGGAAACACCACTTTTTTTTTAATTAAGAAACTCCAGTTTTTCTCACTAGATGTGCTAAACAGGACAGAATGGCAGCCACTTTAGCAGTGTTTCAAGACAACTTCAAGGGAGCCTGAAGTTCAGGGAGAAATTTTGTTTTCACCTCCTCCATTTGGTGCCCTCCAGAGAGATATAACTTTACTGGAATCCTGTAATTTGCAGGCTTCTAGACAGATTAATCCATTACTAAAGGTTGGGAAGCAAAGGTAACAAAATTCCATTTTACCATCACACAGACCTATTTCAACAGACCTTTTTGGTCACTAATGGCTTTCCCCCAGAGAAGGCCCTAGGTAATTTTCAATGGTAAGCAAACAGTATTTTGGTGCCCCCCCCCCCAACCAATCATTGATATATATTTTCTGTTCGTCGTGGGAGTTCTGTGTGCCATATTTGGTTCAATTCCATCATTGGTGGAGTTCAGAATGCTCTTTGATTGTAGGTGAACGATACATCCCAGTAACTACACTTGCCGCACTTGCTCCCTTGCCTGGCCCGCTTTGGGTCCGGAGGCGTGCCTGAAGACCCCGGCGTGTGCACCAAAAGTCACCTCTTCTCCTGACTTTCTCCTCAGCCATTGGGACCGAGAGAGAAAGAGAGAGACAGAGGTGGAGATGCCCACCTTTCCTGAAGGTAGGCGCAAAAACAAAGGAGGGAGCGGAGGTGGGAGATACCTCCAGCCGGAGGGGCTCTCTCTCTCTTTCTCTCTCTCTTTTGGTCCCAATGGCTGAAGAGAAAGTCAGGAGAAGAGACGACTTTTGGTGCGCACGCTGAGGTCTTCATACACGCCTCCAGACCCGAAGCGGGCCAGGCGTGGCGGCTCCGCCCTTTGGCCCACTTGCGGATTGGGGAATGGAAAAGAGGTGGGTGGAGCGCCAGGGGATCGGAAAAGGGAGCCGGTTATGGGGAAGGAATCGAACGTGGAGAACGATTGAGCGCCGGCTCTGCTCGCGCACCCGGTGGCCAGGTGGAGCAGGAATGAGAGGGGCTAGGTGAGACTCAAGGGCCCAGCCCCTTTGGGAAGAGGATTGCCCGGCAGTGAGGCAAGAAAGCCGAGGCTCCCCCCGGACTGCCAGGGCTGTTGTGAGCTGAAGGGGCGCTCCTCAAGTGGCGGTCGAGGGGCATTTACAAAGGCGCCTCTGCGCTCCTGGCAAAAAAAGTATTCTGCGACCGCTTACTTCGCATAATGGACAAGCCGCCCCTGCTTTCCCCCCACTTCAGGCAAGAAATTGTTATTTCGAGCCCAGCGATAAGATTTTCTAATGCAAGTGCATCTTCACAGAACTTCCCAGGAAGCTTCCACAGACATTTCCTTCCCTCATGAAACTCCACAAGAGTTTTTTACCTTGTACTCAAGAGCAGCCATCCCCAGAGGAATCCTTCTATGATCTTGGTGCTCCTTGGATGTGTTGCACACCACACAAAGAAAGGTTTCATCATCTGTGCAGAAAAGATTGAGGGGCTCCTGATGTTTCTCACAGACTCTCTCCTTGCCTTTTGTCTTCTTCTTGGGTCCCTGAAGGATGAGTTTCTTGGTGATTTCTACAACATTGGCTAGTGACTGATTTGTCCTGAGGTTCTTTTGCGAAGTGATTTCTCTGCACTGAGGGCAGGAGATCTCTGTGTCGTCCAGCTTCTCCCAGGTCAGGCAGTCTCTGCAGAAGTTGTGCCCACATTCTAAGATCACAGGATCCTTGAAATAATCCAGGCAAATAGAACAAGTGGCTTCATCAYAAAGATCCTGCAAGGGACCCTGTGCCCTTGGAGCAGCAGCCATGTCTGACTTACAAAGAACACAATTAATTTCACTTTCCTTTGCATTTACTTGCAAAGCATTTCCTGATAATCAGTGGTTCCCAACCTTTGGTCCTACAGGTGTTTTGGACTTAAACTCCCAGAAATCCCAACCAGTTTACCAGGAATTCCAGGCCAGAATTGTGGGAGCAGAAGTCCAATACACCTGGAGAACCAAAGGTTGGAAACCACTGCTGTAAATGATTTGCTAAGCATGCCAACATCTGCAATTAACAGGGAGGGAACACCTTGGAGAAACCTTTTGAACATAAAGAAAATTCATTTTTAAGACAAGGCACCAGGGATCTAGTAAAACTGCAACAGTGTGTTTATTTATTTATTTAAAGCACTTGCCTCTCAATCTGCCAGTGCCTCCAATGCCACATGCAATTATAATCATATGCTTTATTGAGAGTCTATTTTAATCCTGCCCTTAAAATACTTTTAAACCTAGGATATGACTTAAAACATTTAACCTGAGATTGTTAGGTCCCTAAATTTTCACGGGTTATTTTCAGGCAGGAGATGAGGAGCGTCTCCAGTTTTTTTTTTTATTGTGTCAGAAGGATGCATGTGGTTGATCTCCCTGTTTTGGAATTACAAGTGTTATCTCACGTTATCTAGGCCGAATTAGTGATCTCCCTTTCCCATATCTCCCCTCCCCCACAGTACTCCTATGGGGGGCCCTGACCAGTGGAACCCCTCCCCCTCCCCAAGACATCCACCACCACCACCATCACCACCACCACCACCACCCCCACACACACACATGCACACACAACTTCTCCTCATGGAGTGATGGTAACTATTTGGCTTGATAGCTTCTCATTAAAAACCGACTGTCCTCCATGATCATATTTCTCCCCTGCCCTGCAATACCCAGACCCCTCCAGCCCTCCCCAACCCTTATAAAGTGCAAACAAAAGTGCTAAGTGCGAAGGGTTAGAGAGCAGCATGGGAATTGATTTTTCAAGTCKTGAGAGTCTATAAAGTGCAAGGCAGGTTGTGCAAAAATTGCAGTCAATGGGTCAGATTGCCAGTTAAAGTTTTACAGCCTCAGTGAATCTAAACCTGACCAGGTAGTGATCAGTCCATGACAAAGGAACTGTAGACAGATCCTCCACTGTTCCGTCACTGTCATCTCACCCCGAACAGAACACCAGATCTAACGTGTGTCCAGCACTATGGGTGGTGCCAGAAATCATTTGGGACAAACCCATGGTTGCCATGGAGGCCTTGAAGTCCTGACAGAGAGGTCTTGGCACTGGATGTTGAAGTCCCCCAGCACTAGAAGCTGTTGGGACACATTATTTCATTTGAAAATCATCCATGCATTCTTATGAAAGTAGCTGATAGCTTATGAGAGTAGCTGATAGATGACGTGCTCTAAAGAAAAAAAAAAACCCTATAATTCTATTCTGTTTATTGCCTCTCAGAAGCAAAGTTCACACTGAGTTGGGGTGTGAACTCCAAACAACCAATTGTAAAAAGCCAAGGAGCCTTTATTATTTTTTTGCCTGGATTCTTTTTGTGCTGTTTATGACTGTCCTTTGAACTGTGAAGCCAAGTAGGTAACAATAGAGCCCGAACTGTGAGAGATTTTTTTCTTCTTCTCCCAAATCCATTCACCTTTATTGAGAGTCCCTGAGCAAAGAAATCATTTTTTCTTTTTCTCCATTTCTTTCTCAGCAGCTTCTTTGGCCCTTTTTGCTTGGCTGCCCAAGAGCCAAGAATTAGCCTGAGCCATACACCGGCTGATAAAGACCTGGAAGTTCTCCTCCTCCTTGGTGATAACTGGAACTTCTCTTTTTTGTGGACATTTTTGATGGGCATAACTGATCCAGAGAGCTGTGCGGTCATGATTCTCTTTCGAGTTGGAGGCAGAGAATTCTGCCATGGCTTTATACCACTCATTGCTACACTAGGCAAAGGAGAGGAGCACATACACACCCCAATAATAATMATMATCATCATCATCATCATCATCATCATCATCATCATMATCATCATCGTCATCGTCATCTTTATACCCGACCACCATCTCCCCCAACGGGGACTCGGGGCAGCTCACATGAGGAAACATCATTTCTCTGAGGGAGAAGATAACATTTGTACAAATTTGGGGATATAAATGTTTGTAATATTCATTTGTTAATGTAAAAACAAGCAGAAGTAAATACCTTCCTGAATGTAAGGTGGAAGAAAAAAATTAAACTGTATAGAAACCAACAAAAGAGAAGCAAAAAGCCCTCTTTTGAAACTAATATGTGTATTTATGTTTTCTTTTAGATTAATATGTAATTAGACAAATATATGTCATTGTTGTTCAAGTTTGTTTATATTTATGCTGTTGTATTTTATTCGCAAAAAGAAAACAGTAATGTGAAAGGGATCTAGGAGTCTTAGCAGACCTCAACTCAATATGGGTCAACAGTGTGATGTGGCAGCTCAAAAAGCCAATGCAATTCTAGGCTGCGTTAATAGGAGTATAGTGCCTAGATCTGGATAAATAATAGTACCATTATATGCTGCTTTGGTCAGGCCTTACCTAGAATAACACTATGTCCAGCTCTGGGCACCCCAATTTAAGATGGATATTGACATGCTGAAATGCGTCCAGAGATTGCGGGCAGGGAGGGACAAATGGTCCAAAATCTGGAAGCCAAGCCCTATGAGGAGCGACTTGGTTATGTTTCACTCAGAGAAGAAAACACCAAAGCCATGTTTAAATGTTTGAAAAACACGAAAGCCATGTTTAAATATTGAGAAAGGAGCAGGTTTGTTTTCTGCTGCTCTGGAGACTAGGACACAACGAGCAATGGATTGAAATGGCAGAAAAACGATTCCACCTAAATATTAGGAAGAATTTCCTGATGATCAGAGCTGTTCAGCAGTGGAATAAGCTGCTGCCTCAAAATGTGATGGAGTCTCCTTCTCTGGAAGTTTTTAAACAGAGGATGGATGGCCATCTGTCAGGAGTGATCATGGAAGGATCATGTGTTCCTACATGGATATGAGTAGGACCAAGTTGCACTTGGAGTCTTTTCCAAATCTATGATTCTATGGAAAGATAGAAAGTGAGMAGTTGAAAAATATGTTTGCCCACTGCCACCCACTATATACAGTGCAGGAGTGTCTGTCTTTTTCTCTTTGCAACTGAAAAATAAGTTACTAGAAAACTTTCTAGCCATAAACAGGTTACTTATAAAATGGGATGGTTGGGGGCAGGCCCATAGCCAGGATTTTGATTTGGTGGGGGGATGAGTTTGATTCAGGGGGGCTGAGTCGGAGCGAAAGAGGGTCTACCCTAGCAAACCTTTTGTATCGTTACCCCAATACCCCCATGCATATGGGATATATTGAGTATGGTGATCAGATCATGATATGAATAAACATAAGTTTAAATAATGCACCAGTAAGGCCTTCTCGCGGACCACCATGAGAATTTCGTGGGTGGGATGAAGCCCCCCAAGCCCCCCCCCCCCCCGCTACATGCCTGGTTGGGGGTCACCACAACATGAGGAACTTTATTTAGCAGTCACGGCATTAGAAAGGTTGAGAACCACTGAACTAGATAATCAATTTCATCCAAGAATCCCTTTAATTTCAGTTCTTAAATACACAATAACCACATTAGCAATACAGATCCAAACCTACTTATCAACCTTAGCATAAGAGGAAGGAAACTTCACTTTTCTTATGAAGAAACTCCAGGTTTCCCCACTAGATGTGCTAAACAGGACAGACTGGTAGCCACTTTAGCAGTGTTTCAAGGCAGCATGAATTGCAGGGAGAAATTTATTTCCACCATCTCGATTTGGAGCCTTCCAGAAATATATTTTACTAGAATCCTATAATTTGCAGGCTTCTAGACAGATGAACCCATTAATAAAAAGTGGGAAGTAAGAGCGACTAAATTCCATTTTACCATCATATGGACCTAGTTCACCAAGCCATTTTGGTTAATAATGTATTTCCCCCAGTTCAGGCAAGAAAATGTTATTTTGGGCCCAGCGATAAGAATTTCTATTGCAAGTGCATCTTCATAGAAGTCCCCAGGAAGCTTCCACAGGCATTTCCTTCCCTCATCAAACTTCACAAGAGTTTCTTACCCTGTAGTTTTGAGCAGCTGTTCCGAGAGGAATCGTTCGATGATCTTTGTGCTCCTTGGATCTGTCACACATCACACAAATGAAGGTCTCGTCATCTTTACAGAAAAGATTGAGAGGCTCCTGGTGTTTCTCACAGACTCTCTCCTTGCCTTCTGCCTTCTTGGGCCCCTGAGTACTGTGTTTCTTTGTTATTTCTGCAATATTGGCTAGCTGCTGGTTTGTCCTGAGATTCTTTGGTGAAACGATTTCTCTGCACTGAGGGCAGGAGGTCTCTGTGTTGCCTGACTTCTCCCAGGTCTGGGTCAGGCAGGCTCTGCAGAAGTTGTGCCCACAGTCTAAAATCACAGGATTGTTGAAATAATCCAGGCAAACAGGACAAGTGGTTTCTTCACAAAGATCCCAAAAGAGATCCTGTGCCCTTGGAGCAGCAGCCATGTTTGACTTACAAAAATGCAATTACTATCACTTTTCTTTGCATTTACCGGCAGAGCATTTCCTGTAATGATTCACTCAGCATGCCAACATCAGCTCTTAACAAGGGGACAACACCTTGGAGAAACAGTTTCTGGACAAAAAACATCCTTTTTGGGTTGTTGTAGGTTTTTTCGGGCTATAAGGCCATGTTCTAGAGGCATTCTCTCCTGACGTTTCACCTGCATCTATGGCAATCTTTTTGAGAACACAGAAATACTGGACCACTCTAGCAACCACCATGAGACTACACAGAGAAGCCATTGAAATCCGCAAGCATGTGGACAATTTCAACAGAAAGGAGGAAACCATGAAAATGAACAAAATCTGGCTACCAGTATTAAAAAAACTCTAAAATTCCAACAGCAAAACAGCAGAGAGCAAACAATCTGGGACATCTAATCACCTCTCAACAAAAGATTGCCCCAGGCACTGCCATGCCATCAAATGCTAATCAAGGTAGTCAGTTGAAACATTCACACCTAGCTCCAGTAGACAAGAGTGCTTTGTCCCACCCTGGTCATTCCACAGATATATAAACCCTTTTTCCTAGTTCCAACAGACTTCACTACCTCTGAGGATGCTTGTCATAGATGCAGGCGAAATGTCAGGAAAGAATGCCTTTAGACCATGGCCATACAGCCCGAAAAAACCTACAGCAACCCAGTGATTCCGGCCTTGAAAGCCTTCGACAATACAACTTCCTTTTTCAAATAAGGCACCAGGGATTTAGTAAAACTGTAGCAGTGTGTATATTTATTTATTTATTTATTTAGGCATCTGTCTGTCCGGTTTTGATGGATTTGTTCCAGCTTGTTCAGCCTGAGGACATGGACAAGATCCTTGGAGCGTGAGAGCGACTACATGTGCTCTAGACCCTTGTTTATCAAACTTGCCAGTGAGATATTAGCCAAATGGTTTATGAGAATTATTAATGCCTCATTGGATCAAATTACTAGGAAGCTTAACACAGGCAATTGTAAGACCAGTCCTGAAAAAGGCATCCCTTGATTCCTCAGTTCTTAACAATTACCAGCCAATTTCTAATCTATCCTTTTTAGGCAAGGTGCTAGAGCGAGTGTGGCTTCTCAGCTCCAGCAATTCTATGATGAAATTGATTATCTAGTTCAGTGGTTCTCAACCTTTCTAATGCCGTGACTGCTAAATAAAGTTCCTCATGTTGCAGTGACCCCCAATCATATTTTCATTGCTACTTCAAAACTAATTTTGCTACTGTTATGAATTGTAATGTAAATATCTGATATGCAGAATGTGCAGTATTTTAATTGTTACAAATTGAACATAATTACAGCATAGTGATTGGTCACAAAAACAATATGTTTGGGGAAATATTATTTATTTATTTATTTATTTGCTACATTTATATACTGCCCCTCTCAGCCCAAAGGTGATTCGGAGCATCTGCCCGGCCCTCGCTGCCTTCTGAGCTCAAAAGGGGGCAAAGGCTGGATGGCAAATGCTCCTTGAGCAGACAGGCTGTGCAGGGAGCCCTCCACCCATCCCTCATTCCCTTCTGAGCTCGGAAGAGGGTGAGGGCCTGGCAGCTCCACAGATGGCCAGGCCGGGCAGAGGGCTCCCCTCATGGCCTGGCCGTTTGGGGAGCCTTTCCTACCCTGCATGCCAGTCTTCCTCCTGCGCGAGCCTTTGCCTCCAAGCTCCCCCTCCTGACTCCTCACAGCCCTGTGTGAAGAGCAGCAGGAGGAGTGCCTAGTTTTTTGGCTGGCACAGGGGTCGGTAGCCATTTTGGAGGGAGCGAGGCCAACCAAGATGGCTTCGTGACACCCCCCCCCCCCCCAAATGGCCCAATGACACCCCCCCCCCCGGGGGTTGCGACCCCTAGGTTAAGAACCCTTGATCTAGATCCATCTTAATCTGGTTTTAGACCTGGTCACAGAATGGAGAAGGCTTTGGTCGCCTTGTTGGATGACTGCAGAGAACTTGACATGGGGTGTGTCCTTGTTGGTTCTCTTGGGCATCTCAGTGGCTTTTGATACCATCGGCCATAGAATCTTAGAATCACTGAGTTGGAAGAGACCTCATGGGCCATCCGGTCCAACCCCCAACAAGAAGCAAGAAAATCCCATTCAAAGCACCCGCAACAGATGGCCATCCAACCTCTGTTTAAAAGCTTCCAAAGAAGGAGCCTCCACCACACTCTGGGCAGAGTTTCACTGGTGAACATCTATCACAGTCGGAGCCATGGTATCCTGGGTCAGCTCTCCAAAATATGTCTTGGGGGCACTGCTTTACAATGGCTCAGCTCCTTCCTGGAGGATCGAACCCAGTTGGTGAAGCTGGGGGATACCTGATCAGACCCTTGGCTACTGTTCTATGTGGTCCTGCAAGGTTCCATTCTATCCCCATGCTGTTCAACATCTACATGAAACCACTGGGTGAGGTCATCCAGAGTTTTGGAGTTCGGTGCCATTTCTATGCAAATAACACTCAACTCTACTGCTCGTTTCCACCAAACTCCAAGGAAGCCCTCCAGATCATGGACCAGTGCCTGTCTGCTGAGATGGCCTGGATGATGGATAACAAACTGAGGCTTAGACAAGACAAGACAGAAATCCTCCTGGTCAGTCGTGGGGACCAATCAGGGTATCGGGCGCTCAACAGGTTTACACTCTCCCTGAGGATACAGGTCTGCAGTCTGAGGGATCTTCTGGATTCAGCACGGACGCTTGAAGCTCAGGTGTCAGCAGTTGCCAGGAGGGCCTTTGTACAGTTAAAACTTGTGCACCAGCTGTGACCATACCTCAAGAAGCCTGACTTGACCACGGTGGTCCACACCTTAGTTATATCCAGACTAGATTATTACAATGCACCTTTGAAAATGGCCCGCAAACTGCAATTGGTGCAAAGGTCAGCAGCCAGGCTGCTAACGGGAGCTAATTATAGAAATTGGACAACACATCTACTAAAACAGCGGCACTGGTTGCCGATAAGTTTCCAGGCCCAATTCAATATAAAGCCCTAAACGATTCGGGTCTTGCCTATCTTTGTGACCACATTTTTCCCTACGAACCAGTGTGGACCCTAAGATCTTCTGGGAAGGCCCTTCTCTCACTCCCGTCACCATCACAATCACGGTTGGTGGGGATGAGGGAGAGGGCCTTCTCAGTGGCTCTGGAACTCTTTTCCCAGGGAGATTAGACTAGCAGCCACTCTATTTACTTTCTGTAGAGACCTTAAAACATGGGTATTCCATTGGGAATTTGCAAAAGATTAGGCCCTTGTCTACAATTATCCAGACCCAATGAACTGTCAGATTAAACACAACACTTTACGCTCAGCCCTGGCCCTACAATCTATTTTGCACAAGTCCATGCCCAGCCCCTGGCATCTCTAATTTTGATTGCCCATTGTGGCCCTGGTTGTGGACATTGAGATTGGTTTTGTTTTATTGTAATGTTTTTATATATTATTGTTTTAATTGCTTAATTAGCTTGTTATATGTTGATCTGCATTTTAAAATGTGTTCTTACTGGTTAACTCTGTTATTATGAGCCTTGGTCTTGATTGTAAGCCGCCCCAAGTCCCTTCAGGGAGATGGTGGCAGGATATAAGAATAAAGTTGTTGTTGTTGTTGTTGTTGTTGTTGTTGTTGTTATTTAAATCACTTGTCTCTCACCTACCTCCTGAGTATTTTATATAATGTAGTAGGTTTGGAAATAAAGATAATTTTTTAAATAATATAACCTCAAACTGTGATTTTTGTACAACAAAATACTGTATATAACCACAAACATGTATTTTGATACAGGGAAATATTGAATACACACCTAAAGAAGTGAATGAAATTGTTTCATTTTTGTACCTAAAATACAAGTTTTAAAAGTGGGCTTCGTGTCCAGCGGCCAAGCACGTAGATCCAGGGTGACATCTAACTTAGTCCCAAGTTTGTTTTTGACTTCACAACCTCGGAGGATGCTTGCCATAGATGCAGGCAAAATGCCAGGAGAGAATGCTTCTAGAACATGGTCATATAGCTTGAAAAACCTACAACAACCCTGTGATTTCAGCCATGAAAACCTTTGACAATACATTGAAGGGAGTATCATTAAATATTTTATTTCATAAAGGGAGGAAGTAAAGTAAAAGGAAAAAAGTTCCAATGATGGCATCTTCTCTAACAAGATTTAATTTATCTTCTTATATTGTCCCTTCATTTCTTCTTTTCCAACTCTGCATAGTATTCCTTCTCCTTATTTTACCAATAAACTAATTCAAACTCAATTTTTTCTACTCTAGTTGGAGGTCAACTATATACATATCTTAAAGTTAATTTCTTTTCTTAGTAGATTGGTAATATACACGTAAATATTTATTATAATTATCTATCATTCACGTAGAATCTACACATAATAAATTTTCTTATATAAATGTATATATCTATAGTATCAACCTTCTTGAAGTTATACACCTTTCTATGTTAATTCAGAAATATTGACTCATCAAGTTTCTAATTTTTTTTGCTCTTAGATGTACAAGCTATATAGTTTGTACACATATATTCATAGAATCCTAGAGTTCGAAGAGACCTCATGGGCCATCCAGTCCAACCCCCTGCCAAGAAGCAGGAAAATCACATTCAAARCACCCCCGACAGATGGCCACCCAGCCTCAGTTTAAAAGCCTCAAAAGAAGGCTATTTCATAATACTTTTAGTTCACAAATCCTGTTGCAATCATCTTCTTCTGTTTTCTTATAAAAAACCCATTAAAATTTTCCATTCTTCTTGCATTTTTGTATACTTTCTTGTTTGTTCATATCAGCCATTAAAAAAATTGTACCTATTCATTTGGTGTTGGTTCCATAGTTTTGTTTCTTCCGGAATATTTAGACAATTCAGCAAGGGAGGCTGAAACATCCTGCCATGGTTCGATGCCCATCATCATTCCAATAGGCAGAAACCTGGCTTTCATGTTAGTCAGGATGTT